AGAGTCTCACTTGGTCCACCATGTACGTGACCCCAGCATAGAGTCTCCACTTGGCCCAACATGTACGTGACCCAGCATAGAGTCTCCACTTGGCCCAACATGTACGTGACCCCAGCATAGAGTCTCCACTTGGTCCACCATGTACGTGACCCCAGCATAGAGTCTCCACTTGGTCCACCATGTACGTGACCCCAGCATAGAGTCTCCACTTGGTCCACCATGTACGTGACCCGCATAGAGTCTCCACTTGGTCCACATGTACGTGACCCCAGCATAGAGTCTCCACTTGGTCCCCATTACGTGACCCCAGCATAGAGTCTCCACTTGGTCCACCATGTACGTGACCCGGCATAGAGTCTCCACTGGCCCAACATGTACGTGACCCCGGCATAGAGTCTCCACTTGGTCCAACATGTACGTGACCCCAGCATAGAGTCTCCACTTGTTCCACCATGTACGTGACCCCAGCATAGAGTCTCCACTTGGTCCACCATGTACGTGACCCCAGCATAGAGTCTCCACTTGGTCCACCATGTACGTGACCCCAGCATAGAGTCTCCACTTGGCCCAACATGTACGTGACCCCGGCATAGAGTCTCCACTTGGCCCAACATGTACGTGACCCCAGCATAGAGTCTCCACTTGGTCCACCATGTACGTGACCCCAGCATAGAGTCTCCACTTGGTCCAACATGTACGTGACCCCAGCATAGAGTCTCCACTTGGCCCAACATGTACGTGACCCCGGCATAGAGTCTCCACTTGGTCCAAAATGTACGTGACCCCGGCATAGAGTCTCCACTTGGTCCAACATGTACGTGACCCCAGCATAGAGTCCCCACATGGTCCAACATGTACGTGACCCCGGCATAGAGTCTCCACTTGGTCCAACATGTACGTGACCCCAGCATAGAGTCCCCACTTGGTCCAACATGTACGTGACCCCAGCATAGAGTCCCCACTTGGTCCAACATGTACGTGACCCCAGCATAGAGTCCCCACTTGGTCCAACATGTACGTGACCCCAGCATAGAGTCTCCACTTGGTCCAACATGTACGTGACCCCAGCATAGAGTCTCCACTTGGTCCAACATGTACATAACCCTGGCATAGAGTCTCCACTTGGTCCAACATGTACGTGACCCCGGCATAGAGTCCCCACTTGGACCAACATGTACGTGACCCCAGCATAGAGTCTCCACTTGGTCCAACATTTACGTGACCCCAGCATAGAGTCTCCACTTGGTCCAACATGTACGTGACCCCAGCGTAGAGTCTCCACTTGGTCCAACATGTACGTGACCCCAGCATAGAGTCTCCACTTGGTCCAACATGTACGTGACCCCAGCGTAGAGTCTCCACTTGGTCCACCATGTACGTGACCCCAGCATAGAGTCTCCACTTGGTCCAACATGTACGTGACCCCAGCATAGAGTCTCCACTTGGTCCAACATGTACGTGACCCCAGCATAGAATCTCCACTTGGTCCAACATGTACGTGACCCCAGCGTAGAGTCTCCACTTGGTCCACCATGTACGTGACCCCAGCATTGAGTCTCCACTTGGTCCAACATGTACGTGACCCCAGCATAGAGTCTCCACTTGGTCCAACATGTACGTGACCCCAGTATAGAGTCCCCACTTGGTCCAACATGTAGGTGACCCCAGTATAGAGTCCCCACCTGGTCCAACATGTACGTGACCCCAGCATAGAGTCTCCACTTGGTCCAACATGTACGTGACCCCAGTATAGAGTCCCCACCTGGTCCAACATGTTCAGAAAGCTCAAGGTTATGTTTACAACATACACGATCATAACAGGAACTGGTAGGGCAACTAAGGACAGTTAGGAGAGGAATGGCAGAGTATGACAAGTTTTAAGGTAAGTATAACAATGGTTTGCAATACCGACACGTAGATAATTAAGTTTGTATAAATAATTTAGAAAGCCGATAAGTCGATAAATGAGACACTCATGTACAATTTAGGCCTCTTTATTCTGGAAACGTTTCGCCAGCTGGTGGATTCATCAGTCCAATACAGAGAAGAACGGTGGAAGAGGAGGAGGAGGAGTTTGAGGTAATAATCCCTCAGCATCAGCCAAGGGAGTGATTACCTCAAAATCCTCATCTTCTACCGTTCTTCTCTGTATTAGACTGATGAATCCACTGGCTAGCGAAACGTTTTCAGAATAAAGATGCCCAAATGTTACACAAATATCTTATTTATATAATAAAGACACGTGTGCAAGAGTTACGTATCATTATTGCGAAGCTTTATTCTGAAGACTTGTGTGTGAGCGAGACGTTACTGAGCAGAGGTACCTAACTATTTCACAAGACTTGTGTGTGAGCGAGACGTGACTGAGCAGAGGTACCTAACTATTGCACAAGACTTGTGTGTAAGCGAGACGTGACTGAGCAGAGGTACCTAACTATTGCACATGTTTCTTAATTATCTAGCTTTAGGGTAGTGGAAAAGTAGAATGAATTGCAGAAGAAAGCGATTGAGGAAATTTCAATGCACAGCTTTAAGATAAGGTCCCAGAGGACAAAACCAGTTATGCAGGTCAAAGTAGTCATAGAGTCAGGAGACAAGTCAAGATGGACACAAACGTCAATGGACTAATACTCTGCATGCGCGCAGACGGGAAAGAATTAATAAGGAAGACTTCCTAACCCCATAAAGTGGCAGAATTATAAAAACCATAATATTTTTGAACTCACCAACCGTCTCCTATGAAGGTAGGTGATCCATACAAAGAAAACACATTTACCATCATTCATTAAATATTTAGCTGTCTTGGCAGAAGTACGTCAACATCATTATTCAAACAATCCTCTAAACTGCCACATTCCCATCCTACAGTGTACAAACACTATAATTTCCACCTCCAAGATTAACATCTTCACCCATCTTTTAAAGTGCAGTTACTATAATTCTCACCCCAGGATTAAAGTTCGGCTAAATATATACTGAAAAAAAGGTCTGCCGAAAGAATACAAGAAAGTTTTTTTCAGAGTACTTTTATCTTCCTCCAAGGTTTCCGTGCGGTAACTTGCGAATGCTTCTCAGTAACGGCTTCAAACTTACAAAGCTGACGTATCTACGTGTAGGTTCAAATTTGCTAATTTTGTAAAATTAAAAAATTAAATTATTATTTTTCGTGTGATAATTCGGTTTTGATAATGTATTACTACTGGTGTACAATCTGCCCTGGAAACCATTGTTGTCTTTGCCTCCAGGGTGCCTAGAGCAGTAACAGCATCTCTACGGATTAAGCCAACCTAGTTTAGAATTGTGGTTAGTCTCATGTTTTCATTGTTCATACTCTAGTTCCTGCTGTGTTTCTTGAGAGTGTTCATCTAAAACTTATGGGCCTATTTAGGTGTTAAGCTACAGTTGCTAAATTTCTCGAGTGTGTTGAGCTAATGTTCCCAAGCTTCTTGAAGGTGTGGATCAGCAACACCGCATTTCTTGGAAGTACTTAATTTTAGTTGCTAGGTCACTTGAGCTGCAGTATCTTCGTCTCTTTGTGTGTGAGGTACAGGCACTATTTATGCCTCTTGTGTTAAGGTACAGGCACTATTTATGCTTCTTGTGTTAAGGTACAGGCACTATTTATGCCTCTTGTGTTAAGGTACAGGCACTATTTATGCCTCTTGTGTTAAGGTACAGGCACTATTTATGCTTCTTGTGTTGAGGTACAGGCACTATGCCTCGTGTGTGAGGTACAGGCACTATTCCTTTTGTGTTGAGGTACATGCATTATGCCTCTTGTGCGCGTTAAAGCACTATTTATGTATCTTGCGTGTATTAAGGTACAGGTAGTGGGGTTATGCAGGGAGGGACACCTCTATCGAATCACGCAGGGAGCGAAGCACAGTTTTTTACAGGGTGAACCGGTTAGCCATCGGAAGGCCTTCATTAAATTATCAAAAGCGCCAGAGAGGGTCATCGTGTGAGTAAGACCAACGTCGCCATAACTTTTCTTATGTTCCTGATAAAATAACGCCACCACAGTCGACTTAATGATCAGAAGCTGGTTCTTAAAAACGTTGCAAATAATTTTTCCAATGATCAGTTGTTAATATACATTAAGGAATTACTTTAGAAAGATATTCTTACATCTCGAAATTTCGTTTTGATTCAAAGATCAGATCAGGAAAATAATAGAAACACCAGAAATTTGAGAACATGCAGAAAGCTCTGACCAGGTCACAGGAAAATTTCCCTGGCGCATGTTAAGATGGATCATTAGCATTATATTCAGGGGGAAGAGAAAAAGTCGTAGGAGCCAAACAGCGCCTGAGAAATGAAGGATAATCAGGCTTGATTGGAGGACGAGGTCTCTTCAATTTCTTGGATCAAGATTCTTTCACCATCATCAAGAGATATATGGATATATATTACTACGTGTTATATTCTGCTTTTGGCTCACGACTCGTAATTTTGGTGTAGTTTTATATATAAAACAAAATAACTGGGAGTCAGCTTCATGTGCAGGTCAAGCTTGGTAATGAAAGGTCAGGCTAGGTCAGCTGTCAAGATCTAGACTGAGGCGAAGTTCATTACATAAAAGTTGCATCAGTGTAATCTAACTGTTATTTACTGTTGTTTTATTTTATTAATATAAATTTCTAATTTTAACACTAAATAAATTTAATCCATATATAATACTTATTTAGTTATGTAATGTGTATTATTTACAACTTTCTTGCAGTACTAACATTATGGCACTTTCGTACTACATAACCTTGCAATTTATGCTTAATAACCTCGCATACACAACATTTAATAAGGCAACAGCTACAGCGTTTATTTTGAGATCAAGTTCCTGAATACATTGTGTGCCACTGTAGTTATTTTAACTACCACCTGCAGAATAGCTATATAGAGAAATAAAAAAAAATCAATCGACGGTGTTGACGCAAACCTCGAGGGCACAAACATGTTTAGATATTGTACAGTGAGTGTGGAAGAAACCGTGGGTACGTTACCTGTTGTACGTATGTGGAGGAGACAGCACCGTTACCGCAGTGTGGAAGATCTCTACCAAGAATGATAGTCGTACTTAGCCCACCATCACTAGTTTCTCTTGGAGGTAGTAATATCACGCAACACGGCAGGGAGAGAGAGAGGGGGGGGAGGGGAGATACACATGTAACGGCAACCACAGATAGACAGTTTCATTCAGGTTAAATTTACAGATTGTGTTACATATTAACATTTTAGGCTCATTGCCACTTGTTACTATCAGTTAAAAATCAGAATCGTTGTCAGCATATCATGAAAAGAGATAAGGTAAAGATACAAAGTACCATTGCGGAGAATCAAGGAGGATTTAGATGAATGTTGTGTGTAAGAAGCTATATATTGCAATTATGAACTTGGAAACTGCATGTGAGAGGGTTGTTAGAGGTGCGATATGGCCGGTGTTGCAAACGTGTATGTACAGTAGCAGTTGGCAGGTTGTTACTGTACAGATTTGTTTGGTTTAGTAAGAGTGAGGTTTATTAAATTATATAGAAGAGAATGGTATTTTTTTCGGTATAAATGATCATTAGACTGGTGTGTGTGGTATCACCTTTGTTGTTTGTTTGTAGATAGAATTTGTAAAATAATTAAATGCTAGAGGGATGAAAGACACTTGCTAGAAAATAAAGAATTTGTTATTATGCATAAGCTGTCACAGTTGCTATTCGCTGATGACGTGGTGCTTTTGGGAGAGTCGGAAGAAAGATACAGAAGTTAGAGAAGAAAGGAAAGGTGTGTTAAAGAAGGAGGTTTATAGTGATCACAGGAAGTGCAAGGCGATGACGACGAGACTAAGAAGTCTAGGTAATGAAGGATTAAACGTCAGACTGAAAGGAAGGAGTGTAGAGGAAGTGAATTTATTAAGATATTTGCACCTCCATATACCTAAATATTTGTCTGTGGAAGACTTAAATCACAGAATAAATTAGGAAAAGATTGCAAGAATGTTATTCTGTAAAAAAGAATATACACAAATAACCCGCACATAAAAGAGAGAAGCTTACGACGACGTTTCGGTCCGACTTGGACCATTGACAAAGTCACACTGTGACACTGTCACAGTGTGACTTTGTCAATGGTCCAAGTCGGACCGAAACGTCGTCGTAAGCTTCTCTCTTTTATGTGCGGGTTATTTGTGTATCGTTCCAGTCACGGTATTGTGCCTTTTTTGTTATTTATTTAAAAAAGAATATGTTTGTCAGTGAATAAATAAAAGGGAAAAATGTGTGGGTAGCGAGTATAGTGGTGCCACTATACAAGATAAGCAATTAAACATACGTGCAACACTTGGGTACCTTTATTTGAAGACGTTTCTCCAACCAGTGGCTTTTTCAATTTAACAGAGTTCACATATGAAGATAATATATGAGTCCCTCAGCCTTGTGGAACCGTACACAGAAGACAGTGGAAGATGAGGGAATCAACCCTTCAACCTACATAACGATGTTCAGAATCTTAGTCTTGTTGAATCCGAAGCACAGGCAGGATGATGGCCTTTTTATGTACTAAAGTCAGATGAGGTTATGATACTTGTCTGACACAGCAGTAACATGGACTCTTGCTACAGAGGATATCTCCTATAATCTGCGGTATTTGCTAAACGTGGCCTGGTGGCCAAAGCTCTCTCCTCACACAACGAGTGTCCGGGTTCGATTCCCGGCTAGGGTAGAAACATTGGGCGCGTTTCTTTACACCGGTTGTTTATGTTCATCCATCAGAAAATGGGTACCTGGGTGTTAGTCGACTGGTGTGGGTCGCATCCCGGGAAAAACTGACCTAATCTTTCCGAAATGCTCTGCATAACAACCGGCTTTATGTATAGTATTATGTCGTTGATGTCAGCTAGGACTGTACACCTTGTACATGTACTTGTAGAAATAAAGATATTATTAACTCTCGAACATCACCTACTGCCACAAGTGAGTCCCGCCCATAATGTGACGATGACTTTACTGCTACACCTCAACTGACTTCAGTATAAAAGAATTCGTCTTTTTTCTCCTGTACTTCTGATTCGAAGATAATGAGCACCACTTCTCAGGGTTTGGGACTGATTACCTCATTTTCCACTTTGTTCGTATATTTTTACTGATTTAAAAAAAAAAGCACTGGATGGCGAAACGTCTTCAAATAAACATATGCAGGTGTTGCACAAGTGTTTAATTCCTCATGGAGTAAACGAGATAGACGAATTTGTAGTGGTATAAAGGGTATAATTCAGAGAGGTAGATGGTAGAGCAGCTTAGAAAGGTTGTTGCAAGGTAAATTGATCAAGATGTATAAGTCTGGGTTGGATACAAGGTGTGTGAGACATATAATAAAAGGTAGAAACTGGAGCATCCAGCAAGTATGTGTCAGCATGTTAGAAGGCAGCAAGTACAGATAATTTCTTTTTTGGGGGGATTTAACGTGCTGTTGGAGTATGAGAATTGTAATATATCTTGGAAGGAACTCATAGAAATAGTTAACTGTATTTGCATTCAGGAGGTGGAAAATACGGTAAATGTACTTTGAAAGATGGGTAGGCAGGGTGAGGATTGGCCAATCATTTGGATTGTGATGTCCTTCTTTTAATGAAAAAATCAAGAATGATTGATAACGAATGTGATTTTCTTCTTTGAGTCACCCTACATTGGTGAGAAATTGCTGACGTATTAAAAAAATTACAATTGGACAATTAAATACACTGTAGATAAATGGTTCAGAGAACCGACAAGTTGATAAATTAGACACATGTGCAACACTTGGGTATCTTTAATGAGGAAGCGTTTCGCCACACAGTGGCTTCATCAGTCCATACAAAATAGAATGGTGAAGAACAGGAGGAGTTTGAGGTAATCAGTCCCTCAGCCTTGAGTCGATGTAATCAGTCCATCAATCTTGAAAGGAATACAGCATATGGGCGAAGAAGTGGCTTATATACTGTAGACAGGTGAGGTGAAGCAGTCGTACGTGGTATCACACTTGACAAATCCAAATGTGGAAGTAGCTCATGCCTAAGGCGATAAATGACATGCCCATGCACTCTGCCCCAGGCCCAGACTCATGGAACTCCGTGTTCATCAAGAACTGCAAGAAGCCCCTGTCATGTGCTTTTAACATCCTATGGAGAGGGAGCATGGACACAGGGGTTGTCCCACAGTTACTAAACACAACAGACATAGCCCCACTCCACAAAGGGGGCAGTAAAGCAATATCAAAGAACTACAGACCGATAGTGCTAACATCCCATATCATAAAAATCTTTGAAAGGGTTCTAAGAAGCAAGATCGCCATCCATCTAGATACCCATCAGTTACACAACCCAGGGCAACATGAGTTTAGAGCAGGTCGCTCCTGTCTGTCCCAACTACTGGACCACGATAACAAGATCCTGGATGCTCTAGAAGACAAACAAAAGACAGATGTAGTATACACAGACTTTGCAAAAGCCTTTGACAACTAGTTCAGTTATTAAAACTTTGGGGGCCCAGTCCCTGGACCCATTATGTACCTCTGTAATCTGTTAATACCTTTGTAACTTGTCATGATTATGACCAGATCTACCTGGAGTTCATTACCTTTGTAACTTGCTCAGCTATCAAAACTTTGGGGTCCAGTCCCTGGACCCATTATGTACCGCTGTAATCTTTAGACTACCGCCCACAGGATGGGTATGGGGTGCATAATAAACATATTAAACTAACAAATGTGACCATGGTGTAATGGCGCACAAAATGCGTGATAAAGGAATAACAAGAAAAGTTGGTAGATAGATCTATAATTTCCTAACAAATAGAACACAAAGAGTAGTAGTAAACAGAGTAAAGTCTGAGGCGGCTACGGTGAAAAGCTCTGTTCCACAGGCACAGTACTCGTTCCCATCCTGTTCCTCATCATCATATCTGACATAGACAGGGATGTAAGCCACAGCACCGTGTCTTCCTTTACTGATGACACCCGAATTTGCATGGCAGTGTCCTCCATTGAAGACACTGCAAAATTTCAGGCGGGAATCAACGAAATCTTTAAATGGGCTGCAGAAAACAATATGAAGTTCAATGATGAGAAATTTCAATTACTCCGATATGGAAAACGTGAGGAAATTAAAACTATATCGAGGTATAAAACAAATTCCAACCACAAATAGAACGAAAAACTAATGAATAAAACCTGGGAGTGATAATGCCAGAGGATCTCACCTTCGAAGACCATAACATTGTATCAATTGTATCTACTAGAAAAATGACAAGATGGATAATGAGAACCTTCAAAACTAGGGATGCGAAGCCCATGATGACACTATTCAGGTCTCTTGTTCTATCTGGGCTGGAATGTTGCTGCACACTAACAGCACCTTTCAAGGCAGGTGAAATTGCTGACCTAGAAAATGTACAGAGAACCTTCACGGCGCGCATAACGGAGATAAAACACCTCAGTTACTGGGAACGTTTGAAGTCCCTCAACCTGTACTCCCTAGAATGCAGGCAGGAAACATACATGATTATATACACTTGGAAAATCCTAGAGGGATTAGTACCAAACTTGCGCACGAAAATCACTCCTTATGAAAGCAAAAGACTCGGCAAATGATGCAACATCCCCCCCAATGAAAAGCAGGGGTGCCACTAGCACGATAAGAAACAACACAGTAAGTATGAGGGGCCCAAGACTGTTTAACTGCCTCCCAGCATACATAATGGGGATTACCAATAGACCCCTGGGTGTCTTCAAGAAGACGCTGGACAGTCACCTAAAATCAGTACCTGACCAGCCGGGGTGTGGTTCGTACGTCGGGTTGCGTGCGGCCAACAGCAACAGCCTGGTTGATCAGGCCATGATCCACCATGAGGCTAGTCACAGACCGGGCGGCGGGGGCGTTGACCCCTGAAACCCTCTCCAGGTAAAGATTAGGCAAGTGAAGAATTCCCTGTATTAAAATCCCAAGATGTTGCTGTGTCTGACAGGAATGTTTGGACTGATTATATCGACTCAAGGCTGAGGGACTGATTACCTCAAACTCCTCCTGTTCTTCACCATTCTCCTTTGTATGGACTGATGAAGCCGCTATGTGGCGAAACGTTTCCTC